GTCCATCCCTTCATACTCTTCTGCACCCTGAGCTATCTCCCTGTGCATAAGCAGCCCTTCCTTCTCCCATGATTGTTCTCTCCAGGGCGTGTTGAACATTTCTTTTAAAAACAATTTTATATCCTAATTTCAAGGATGCATTACCTTTTCATATCTCCCTGGGGTATTAATTATGCCATTTGAAAATTAAACTTTTCGAGATAACTGTAGATTCATATGCAGTTGCAAAAATACAAGGGAAACTGTACCGCTTAACTCTGAGCCTTTTATGTTGACCATTCTTCATATTAAACTTTTTCTTACTTGTTCTCCAGGTTGTTGGAATCTGCACTGTACAAAGATCATCTGCAGATTCATCTGCTGAACTGCCAATGAAGTCAAAGTTAAGGCAGTGGAGGACCAGTTTCAAGACCTGCATTACCAGATTTTGTTGACACTCATTCTGCAGATTTAAAGGTTTGGCCAACACCTAGAAAAAAGTTCAAAGTAAAAAAAAAACATTATGAATTAAGACAATGAACAAATATTCACTTTGCCAAATAATACCAAATAAAAATAAGCAAAAAAGAGTTACAAAGTTTTGCTGTGTAATTAGGAAAAAAATGGTAAAATCCCCATCCATAAATTTCTACAATAATAGACTATACTTTCTATTTTAATTTTGTGACATGAAAATAAAAACTTTTATAATTAACTCTAAACTGTAGGTCATCCTCTAAAGTTGTAACTGCAAAACAAATATTTTACATAGCACAATAGTTTAAATGTATGGGATTCATTAGTTCAAAAGTTGTTTGGAACAAGTTGAAAATATTTTCTTCCAGAAAAACTAGGGTTAAGTTTATGCATAAAAGATTCATAGTCAGCTAACAAAAACTGCCAGAGCTGTTTGAATGTGGGAGGACACTCAAAGCTTCTGGAGAACATCTGTGACCCTAAAAATGTCCATCATGATACAACCAGAAAATATGGTATCTTTTAGAGATACATATTGAAATATTTATGGAAGAAATGATATGAAGTTTGGGGTTCTGTCTGATTCAGGAATAATACAAAAAGAACTAAAGTGTATATATAGGAATAGCAATGAAACAAGAGTGGCCATGAGTTTTTAGCAGTTTAATTGGTTGATGGGTACAATGGGGCTCACTACATTATTTCATGTACTTTTCTATATATAAAAATTTCCCATAATAAATTAAGATAATAAAAAACTCACTGCCACTGAGTCAATTTTGACTCATAGCAAACCTATAAGACAGAGCAGAACTGCCTCCATGCTGTTTCTAAGGTTCTAATCTTTACACAAGCAGACTGTCACATCCTTCTCCTGTGAAGCGGATGGTGGACCGACTTTTTGGTTAGCAGCTGAGCGCTTATCCACTGTGCCATTAAAGTTCCTTTTTAAGATAAGAGACTGCCTTTAGGTCTGACCTAGTGTGGCAGTTATCATGTACCACAGTACTACGCCACCAGAGCTCCCTGAAGTAAGCAGATAAAAATAAAATATTTTTAAAATCCAATTCACAAATTGTGTTCTACTCAAAACTATTCCATGCTCTCTTGGCAATTCATAATAAAGCAGTATATCAAACGTTTTGTGAAGTCCTTAAGAAAAGAAATTTGCTTACTTCGGTTTGTATTCTAAATGTATTTTACAATGAAACCTGTTTTCTCACCTAATACCATTAACCCCAGAAACAAGTGCTTAGTGGAACATACTTTGGGAAATGCTGCACTAGGCCTACTATCAATCTTGAGCAGCATGATGAAGTCCCTATATTATACAAGAGGACAAAATATAACATAGTACCTAAGGCACTTGACTGCTAACCAGAAGGCTGGTGGTTCAAACCCACCAGCCACTCCTCGGAAGGAAAGGATCACTACTTCTGTAGTGATACTGCCTTGGAAACCCAAGGAGGGGTCGCTATGAGTCTTTTCCAACTCAACAGCATATAAAAACAACAACAATGTTCAATAGAAAAATAAGTTACAAATAGGAAAACGTGTCCAAAGCTATTATTGAAGTCAACTATCTTAGCTCAATTATGAATAAAGTTTGGTAGTTGATAAATTAGAAAAACTTCCTATCATTTCACTGTTCATCCATACTCCAGAAAAATATAGGCAGGGCAGATAAAAGAAGTGAAGAAGCATTAGCTTCTGCATAAAGAATCCACAGTAGGAAGACAATGAAATTATTACCTAAAGATAAGTTACTATATTCCCTTTGGATTTTATCATGTTCCAAGTGAGTAAAAGAGAATTTTTTGGAACTTCTAGATTTGTGTAAATCTACTGTCAAGACTGTCCACATTAACTCTTTAAAAATTCAATGCCATCAAGTTGATACCGACTCATAGCAACCCCCATTAGGTTTCCAAGGCTATAAATCCTTACAGAAGCAGACCACCTCATCTTTCTTCTGTGGAGCAGGTGGTAGGTTTGAACCACTGACCTTCTGGTTAGCAGTCAAATGCCTTACCCACTATTCCACCAGAGCTCCTAACCCTTCAAAAGACAGAATAGAAAAATTTATTTAAAATTCTTCTGAAACTCTTAAAATTTTCTAAATATTCTGACTAGATTACTGTATTACTGAATAACTTCTTAAAAAATAAATAACTTACCTCTTTGAGAAGAGAGCATGCTAGCACTAGAATGTCTTTGAGAGAAGTGTCACGGAATGAGGTAGCTATTTTCCTGTGTTTCCCTGTTGATGCAGAATAATCAATCTAAAAAGATGAAGGTGAATTAGTTTAACCACACCTACTAAAGAGAAAAGCAAAAATTTACTGAATAAGAAAAGGAATGGAAATAGTGATTAAAGAATCATTAAGTATATAGGCATATATCCTAAAGAAGTAAGAGCCAGGACAAGAAATGATATATGCACACCCATGTTCATCACAGCATTATTTACAAAAGCCAAAAGACGGAAACAACCTAGGTACCCATCAACAGAAGAATGAATAACCAAACTATGGTACATACATACAATGGAATACTATGCAATCCTAAAGATTAATGTAGAATCTGCAAATCACCACATAATGTAGATAAACTTGGAGGACCTTATGTTGAGTGAAATAAGTCAACCACAGAAGGACAAATATTGTATTAGTCCGTTATTGTAAAAAGGTTTACATATGGAAGGAAATTTTCTTTGTTGATTACCAAAGGTGGGAGCGGAGGGGAGAGAACACAGCTGGCTAGATAGAGCCAAGTATTTATTTGGATGAATGGAAAAGCAATGTACCAAATGTGAATGATCAACACGGTGGCACTGAGGAAAAGAAAGACAATAGAGAGGTGCATGGGAGATAAAGACAACAACGATCAACACTTCTGCACATACAGTACTGCATTGTCAGCAATGGCAAACATTGATACACAGGTAGATAGATGGGTGGACAGGCTGAATGATTAGGTATGGATGGCTATGCAGGGGGGAGTGTGCCCATGACCATGTACAGCACTGGCAGACTGATTCTACAAGTGTATTTTTATGTTTTGTAACAATTCCCAGGTATATAGTAGAGCTGGCAAGGGACAAGGTTGTAGTCACTTCCTAGCCACAGCCAGCTACCAGGAGGGAATGAGCAGTTGGACCTGTGGACTTGGGACCATGGTCACTGGGGACATCAAGCTCAACTGGCATAACATACTAGCCAAAAACACTGTTCCACATCCTACTTTGGCAAGCAGTGACTGAGATCTTAAAAGCTTACAAGTGGCCATCTACATGCAACGATGAGTCTCTTATCATCCAGGGTAAAGAAGAATGAAGAAAATAAAGACGCATGTAAATAATAAGTCCAAGGGACTGGTACACCATGCAATTCTCAGCCTATACAACTATGAGACCAGAAGAACTACCTGGTGCCCAACTACCACTGTCAACCACTCGGAGGAGGATCTATGTAGAAGACAGTGGATAGAGCGGGAGAACAATGTGGAACAAAACTCAAGATCATTTTAAGAAAGAAAAGAGGGACAAGACTTGCTGGTCTGATAGAGCCTGGTGAACTCCCTGGGACTACAGCCCCTAGCTGCCCTTCAGGTCTGGAATTGAACCCACTCCTGTGGCTTCTACCCAATCAAAAGACAGGCATATGAGCTGAACATTTACATTAGGTCTCCTTGGAGAGCTCAATCATGGGAGAACAGAAGGGCTGTGTATGCATAGGAAGATAGCTGGGGGCCCAATCATGGGAGAACAGAAGGGCTGTGTATGCACAGGATGACAGCTGGGGGAGGGCAGGAGTGCATGGGAGGGAAGAACATAGGGAAGAGGTAACCAGGAGGAGGAAGTGGGAAGAGAGTTGTTATATCGTGCGAAGTAGCAATCAATATCATGAGACAAAGTGTATGTGAAATGCTGTATGGAAAATGAATTTGCTCTGTAAACTCTGACCTAAATCACAATAAAAATTAGAAAAATAAAACAAAATCATTAAGTATAGAGCTAAAAGAGCTTTTAAAAATCCACAAAGGAAGTGACTTGTTCAATGTTATTCTAAGACTTAATAGCAGAGCCAGGGTGAGAACTCAAGTTTCTGGATTACCTTAGTTCAGTGTTCTTTCTAAAAATCATACTGATGCCAAAATCAAAAGCCAGAGTTGATCACATTTTCAGAGACAATATAAACAAAGATCATGAGAGTTCCAGGAAGATGCCAGACTAGGCAGAAAGACTGCACAGACCCTCTTCAACAAAGACAAGGGAAACCAATTAACACAGACAGAGAAGATAATCTTGGACCCCTAAGCCTTGAAGAGAAGGATATAGAAATGGACTAAACCCCAACTAGCAGAAGAATTTGCATGAAAATACCAAAAAAGGAGACAGATGGAGCTGCAGTCTGGCAGCGATCCTCAGCAATCCCGACGGCACAGACAGCTTGGAGATTCCCGAGTGCTGGCAGGACCTAAGAATTAACCTAAAAATAACCCTGCTAGCCATGGACTGCACAGAGGCCTATGCACGGTGGCTGGGGAACAAATGGAGAAGATGAAGACAAAGGTGGGTTGAGCTGTGGACTACTGCCAATCCGGAGGATGCTGCCATTTTGAAGGTTTAAAAAGCAGCTTGACTATTTTCGATATTTAAAGAGACAGCGCTCTAGCAGATTCCTGGGCCTTAAGAATACATTCTGCTTTCCAGCAACCCCTAGGACACTCAGGACCTGCAAGACTGAAAAGGTACCACATTCCTCTTGTTACTCTTATACCCCACACCTGCTTGGTGAACAGAGGTGTGGCCATCCCCCACTCCCACCAACCTTCTGGGCCAACAGGAACTCCATCCCAGTCTGTGTGCTCAGATGGAGCCTGGGTGCCCTGCCCTGTTCTCCACCGATTTTTTTTTTTCTCTTTTTTTATTTATTTATTTTTAGTCTTCTTTTTTCTGGTGATTAGTTTGCTTGTATTTGTCTGTTTTAAAACAACTAATATTATTAATACTTTTGTCCTTTTTATTATTATTCT